ACCAATTCCCTTTATAACTTATGTAGCCAAGTGTTCTATCAATTTCTGTTCAGATTAAACAAATGATGGGTAAAATATTAGTTTAGATTCTTTCAAAAAAAATGAGCTTGCCTATTTTGAAAGCATAAAAAACAATAAAATAAAGCAAAAGTACTTATTTTTTAATTTAAAACCTCTGGACTGCATAGCTTAATGTTTTCCACTAAATATTACAAAGTTTTTATTCATTGAAATGTTGTTTTATCAGCTTTAAAACCAGATAAATCCACGAAGCTCTCCTATAAATATGTCGCCATATTGATTTTTTCGCGCATGCTCCGTACAAAATGCCCAGCTGTAACTCTGCATATTAATGAGGTGTCACGGAAATCAAAAGCGTGCACAGAGAAGCACAGAGGACTTGGGACTAGTCTGCTGAGAGCCACAAGGACAGAAGGCCTGGGCACGAGTTTGTTACTCCGCATGAAATCAATCATAAAACCAACTATAAATAACTAATAATTATTTCCTAAAATGCTTCATAGTCCGCCCCAGTTCCCTCCGCTTTTTGGCGAGTTTTACCATTCTTTTGTCGACTTTTCTTTTTCGATTTATGTTTTTTCTCGCTAGATTCCATCACACCGTCCTCCGACTCCTTCGTTTTCGATTTTTTCTTGTGTTTATTCTTTGTACGACGTCTGTGCTTTCCCTTGATGAACAAGAGAAAACGAAAACAAGTTATGGGATGAGAATAGTGATTTGAGATTTGTACACTGGATAGCTCTATCAGTTCTAAACTGTTTTCCAGCACACCATATCATAATGGTTTTCAGAGCAAAAGTACGAAGCAGATTTGATTTCCATGATAGTTTCAGGTCGTTGTCCAGTAAGAATCATCTGTGAAAGAAGAATATTTGTTAAACACAATCATCTGAGAATTTTTCCAGGTATGTCCAGGTACTTCGGTTTCTTCCTGTAGTAAACTGGACTAAAAATAAATAAAGTTAGTTTAGTAACACTGGATCAATAAGAGATGATCCTTACTGGACCTCTAGGAAGATCAGTTTAGAACTGATAGAGCTATCCAGTATAGATAAAGACAGTTTAGTTTAGGTTTCCTTCTGTAGTAACACTGGATCAATAAGAGATGATCCTTACTGGACCTCCAGGAAGAACACTTTAAAACTGATAGAGCTATCCAGTATAAATAAAGTTAGTTTAGTTTAGGTTTCCTCCTGTAGTAACACTGGATCAATACGAGATGATCCTTACTGGACCTCTAGGAAGATCAGTTTAGAACTGATAGAGCTATCCAGTATAAATAAAGTTAGTTTAGTTTAAGTTTCCTTCTGTAGTAACACTGGATCAATAAGAGATGATCCTTACTGGACCTCCAGGAAGA